CATCTGGGCCTCATGTTGGTGGCCATCTGGGCCTCATGTTGGTGGCCATCTGGGCCTCATGTTGGTGGTCATCTGGGCCTCATGTACCTCATGTTGGTGGCCATCTGGGCCTCAGGTACCTTATGTTGGTGGCCATCTGGGCCTCATGTACCTCATGTTGGTGGCCATCTGGGCCTCATGTACCTCATGTTGGTGGCCATCTGGCCCTCATGTTGGTGGCCATCTGGGCCTCATGTTGGTGGCCATCTGGGCCTCATGTACCTCATGTTGGTGGCCATCTGGGCCTCATGTTGGTGGCCATCTGGGCCTCATGTTGGTGGCCATCTGGGCCTCATGTTGGTGGCCATCTGGGCCTCATGTACCTCATGTTGGTGGCCATCTGGGCCTCATGTTGGTGGCCATCTGGGCCTCATGTTGGTGGCCATCTGGGCCTCATGTTGGTGGCCATCTGGGCCTCATGTACCTCATGTTGGTGGCCATCTGGGCCTCATGTTGGTGGCCATCTGGGCCTCATGTACCTCATGTTGGTGGCCATCTGGACATCATGTTGGTGGCCATCTGGGCCTCATGTTGGTGGCCATCTGGGCCTCATGTACCTCATGTTGGTGGCCATCTGGGCCTCATGTTGGTGGCCATCTGGGCCTCATGTTGGTGGCCATCTGGGCCTCATGTTCGTGGCCATCTGGGCCTCATGTTGGTGGCCATCTGTACCTCATGTACCTCATGTTGGTGGCCTTCTGGGCCTCATGTACCTTATGTTGGTGGCCATCTGGGCCTCATGTACCTCATGTTGGTGGCCATCTGGGCCTCATGTTGGTGGCCATCTGGGCCTCATGTACCTCATGTTGGTGGCCATCTGGGCCTCATGTTGGTGGCCATCTGGGCCTCAGGTACCTCATGTTGGTGGCCATCTGGGCCTCATGTTGGTGGCCATCTGGGCCTCATGTTGGTGGCCATCTGGGCCTCATGTTGGTGGCCATCTGGGCCTCATGTACCTCATGTTGGTGGCCATCTGGGCCTCATGTACCTCATGTTGGTGGCCTTCTGGGCCTCATGTTGGTGGCCATCTGGGCCTCATGTACCTCATGTTGGTGGCCATCTGGGCCTCATGTACCTCATGTTGGTGGCCATCTGGGCCTCATGTTGGTGGCCATCTGGGCCTCATGTACCTCATGTTGGTGGCCATCTGGGCCTCAGGTACCTCATGTTGGTGGCCATCTGGGCCTCATGTTGGTGGCCATCTGGGCCTCATGTACCTCATGTTGGTGGCCATCTGGGCCTCATGTACCTCATGTTGGTGGCCATCTGGGCCTCATGTTGGTGGCCATCTGGGCCTCATGTACCTCATGTTGGTGGCCATCTGGGCCTCAGGTACCTCATGTTGGTGGCCATCTGGGCCTCATGTTGGTGGCCATCTGGGCCTCATGTTGGTGGCCATCTGGGCCTCATGTACCTCATGTTGGTGGCCATCTGGGCCTCATGTACCTTATGTTGGTGGCCATCTGGGCCTCATGTACCTCATGTTGGTGGCCATCTGGGCCTCATGTACCTTATGTTGGTGGCCATCTGGGCCTCATGTTGGTGGCCATCTGGGCCTCATGTACCTCATGTTGGTGGCCATCTGGGCCTCATGTACCTTATGTTGGTGGCCATCTGGGCCTCATGTACCTCATGTTGGTGGCCATCTGGGCCTCATGTACCTCATGTTGGTGGCCATCTGGGCCTCATGTACCTCATGTTGGTGGTCATCTGGGCCTCATGTTGGTGGCCATCTGGGCCTCATGTATCTCATGTTGGTGGCCATCTGGGCCTCATGTACCTCATGTTGGTGGTCATCTGGGCCTCATGTTGGTGGCCATCTGGGCCTCATGTACCTCATGTTGGTGGCCATCTGGGCCTCATGTTGGTGGCCATCTGGGCCTCATGTTGGTGGCCATCTGGGCCTCATGTTGGTGGCCATCTGGGCCTCATGTTGGTGGCCATCTGGGCTTCATGTATCTCATGTTGGTGGCCATCTGGGCCTCATGTACCTCATGTTGGTGGCCATCTGGGCCTCATGTACCTTATGTTGGTGGCCATCTGGGCCTCATGTACCTTATGTTGGTGGCCATCTGGGCCTCATGTTGGTGGCCATCTGGGCCTCATGTACCTCATGTTGGTGGCCATCTGGGACTCATGTACCTTATGTTGGTGGCCATCTGGGCCTCATGTACCTCATGTTGGTGGCCATCTGGGCCTCATGTTGGTGGCCATCTGGGCCTCATGTACCTCATGTTGGTGGCCATCTGGGCCTCATGTTGGTGGCCATCTGGGCCTCATGTTGGTGGCCATCTGGGCCTCATGTTGGTGGCCATCTGGGCCTCATGTTGGTGGCCATCTGGGCCTCATGTTGGTGGCCATCTGGGCCTCATGTTGGTGGCCATCTGTACCTCATGTACCTCATGTTGGTGGCCATCTGGGCCTCATGTACCTTATGTTGGTGGCCATCTGGGCCTCATGTACCTCATGTTGGTGGCCATCTGGGCCTCATGTTGGTGGCCATCTGGGCCTCATGTACCTCATGTTGGTGGCCATCTGGGCCTCATGTTGGTGGCCATCTGGGCCTCAGGTACCTCATGTTGGTGGCCATCTGGGCCTCATGTTGGTGGCCATCTGGGCCTCATGTTGGTGGCCATCTGGGCCTCATGTTGGTGGCCATCTGGGCCTCATGTACCTCATGTTGGTGGCCATCTGGGCCTCATGTACCTCATGTTGGTGGCCATCTGGGCCTCATGTTGGTGGCCATCTGGGCCTCATGTACCTCATGTTGGTGGCCATCTGGGCCTCATGTACCTCATGTTGGTGGCCATCTGGGCCTCATGTTGGTGGCCATCTGGGCCTCATGTACCTCATGTTGGTGGCCATCTGGGCCTCAGGTACCTCATGTTGGTGGCCATCTGGGCCTCATGTTGGTGGCCCTCTGGGCCTCATGTACCTCATGTTGGTGGCCATCTGGGCCTCATGTACCTCATGTTGGTGGCCATCTGGGCCTCATGTTGGTGGCCATCTGGGCCTCATGTACCTCATGTTGGTGGCCATCTGGGCCTCAGGTACCTCATGTTGGTGGCCATCTGGGCCTCATGTTGGTGGCCATCTGGGCCTCATGTTGGTGGCCATCTGGGCCTCATGTACCTCATGTTGGTGGCCATCTGGGCCTCATGTACCTCATGTTGGTGGCCATCTGGGTCTCATGTACCTTATGTTGGTGGCCATCTGGGCCTCATGTACCTCATGTTGGTGGCCATCTGGGCCTCAGGTACCTCATGTTGGTGGCCATCTGGGCCTCATGTACCTTATGTTGGTGGCCATCTGGGCCTCATGTACCTCATGTTGGTGGCCATCTGGGCCTCATGTACCTTATGTTGGTGGCCATCTGGGCCTCATGTTGGTGGCCATCTGGGCCTCATGTACCTCATGTTGGTGGCCATCTGGGCCTCATGTACCTTATGTTGGTGGCCATCTGGGCCTCATGTACCTCATGTTGGTGGCCATCTGGGCCTCATGTACCTCATGTTGGTGGCCATCTGGGCCTCATGTACCTCATTTTGGTGGTCATCTGGGCCTCATGTTGGTGGCCATCTGGGCCTCATGTATCTCATGTTGGTGGCCATCTGGGCCTCATGTACCTCATGTTGGTGGTCATCTGGGCCTCATGTTGGTGGCCATCTGGGCCTCATGTACCTCATGTTGGTGGCCATCTGGGCCTCATGTTGGTGGCCATCTGGGCCTCATGTTGGTGGCCATCTGGGCCTCATGTTGGTGGCCATCTGGGCCTCATGTTGGTGGCCATCTGGGCTTCATGTATCTCATGTTGGTGGCCATCTGGGCCTCATGTACCTCATGTTGGTGGCCATCTGGGCCTCATGTACCTTATGTTGGTGGCCATCTGGGCCTCATGTACCTTATGTTGGTGGCCATCTGGGCCTCATGTTGGTGGCCATCTGGGCCTCATGTTGGTGGCCATCTGGGCCTCATGTACCTCATGTTGGTGGCCATCTGGGACTCATGTACCTTATGTTGGTGGCCATCTGGGCCTCATGTACCTCATGTTGGTGGCCATCTGGGCCTCATGTTGGTGGCCATCTGGGCCTCATGTACCTCATGTTGGTGGCCATCTGGGCCTCATGTTGGTGGCCATCTGGGCCTCATGTTGGTGGCCATCTGGGCCTCATGTTGGTGGCCATCTGGGCCTCATGTTGGTGGCCATCTGGGCCTCATGTACCTCATGTTGGTGGCCATCTGGGCCTCATGTTGGTGGCCATCTGGGCCTCATGAACATCATGTTGGTGGCCATCTGGGCCTCATGTTGGTGGCCATCTGGGCCTCATGTTGGTGGCCATCTGGGCCTCATGTACCTCATGTTGGTGGCCATCTGGGCCTCAGGTACCTCATGTTGGTGGCCATCTGGGCCTCATGTTGGTGGCCATCTGGGCCTCATGTTGGTGGCCATCTGGGCCTCATGTTGGTGGCCATCTGGGCCTCATGTACCTCATGTTGGTGGCCATCTGGGCCTCAGGTACCTCATGTTGGTGGCCATCTGGGCCTCATGTTGGTGGCCATCTGGGCCTCATGTTGGTGGCCATCTGGGCCTCATGTACCTTATGTTGGTGGCCATCTGGGCCTCAGGTACCTCATGCTGGTGGCCATCTGGGCCTCATGTTGGTGGCCATCTGGGCCTCATGTTGGTGGCCATCTGGGCCTCATGTTGGTGGCCATCTGGGCCTCATGTACCTCATGTTGGTGGCCATCTGGGCCTCATGTTGGTGGCCATCTGGGCCTCATGTTGGTGGCCATCTGGGCCTCATGTTGGTGGCCATCTGGGCCTCATGTTGGTGGCCATCTGGGCCTCATGTACCTCATGTTGGTGGTCATGTAGAGTATTTGCTCAAAAGAGACACAAGAAAAATTAAGAAAGAAGAAAGAGGTAGGTATACTCTCAAGGTAAACAATTTTAAATGTACCTGATATAAGGACAAATTGAGGGCCCCTAGGCTCTCACTGAGCCTTATGTTGGAGCCAATGGTTGCTATCTCTGTGCTAGCAGTGTCCAAGGTGGTCAGGCTCATGGCATCATTTCTTTGCTCTCTCAGATGGTGGTGGAAACGGCTGGTGAATTTCTGAAACACTTCGTCCATCTTTACAAGAGGAAACTTAAGTGGACAATCTGCAAATGACATCATTGGGCTGGCATTATTTCCCAGAACCTCTTATATGATTAGAGTGGTGTACTATCATTGGCAATGGAAGAAGCTGACTCTAAGCATTGCATTCCGTGTTTGCCATGATATACTAAGCCTTAACTAGGCACACAGTTTTATTTATTATATACTTTGCCAACATATTTCAACTGAATGGCACAAAATTCAGTTTGATGGTTATGTGTCTGGTTGGAACGGCTAGTACTGTTATATACAAGTTTTATTTTTTTATATGAAGAAGCTACTATTTATTTTGAAAATTTCAAAAGAGATACATCTTATGGAAACTAGAATGAAAATATAAGGAAGAAGATTTAAATGATTTTTCATATGCGAACAATGCCTGTCGGGCATAATATAATAAATACTTAGGTTACATGTTAAAGGGTCTTCTGTTGAATGCAAATATTGTTAAAAACTGGTGATATTAGCTTTTTAGATCAATTGGCCTACTTCTTTAAATATCTAGATTGGAAAACAGCAAAATACTAACTAGGAATAATTTTTAACAATGTGTTAACTTTTATTTGGCGATGTAGGTAAGTGGAAAGTTAAGAACGGAGTGGTCAGGGTTAGGGGTTTTTTCATGGGCAATGACTACCTTTCAGTGTAGACTTTTGATGTGTGATGAATGACTACCTTTCAGTGTAGACTTTTGATGTGTGATGAATGAGTACCTTTCAGTGTAGACTTTTGATGTGTGATGAATGAGTACCTTTCAGTGTAGACTTTTGATGTGTGATGAATGACTACCTTTCAGTGTAGACTTTTGATGTGTGATGAATGAGTAGCTTTCAGTGTAGACTTTTGATGTGTGATGAATGACTACCTTTCAGTGTAGACTTTTGATGTGTGATGAATGACTACATTTCAGTGTAGACTTTTGATGTGTGATGAATGAGTACCTTTCAGTGTAGACTTTTGATGTGTGATGAATGACTACCTTTCAGTGTAGACTTTTGATGTGTGATGAATGACTACCTTTCAGTGTAGACTTTTGATGTGTGATGAATGACTACCTTTCAGGGTAGACTTTTGATGTGTGATGAATGAGTACCTTTCAGTGTAGACTTTTGATGTGTGACGAATGACTACCTTTCAGTGTAGACTTTTGATGTGTGATGAATGACTACCTTTCAGTGTAGACTTTTGATGTGTGATGAATGACTACATTTCAGTGTAGACTTTTGATGTGTGATGAATGAGTACCTTTCAGTGTAGACTTTTGATGTGTGATGAATGACTACCTTTCAGTGTAGACTTTTGATGTGTGATTAATGACTACCTTTCAGTGTAGACTTTTGATGTGTGATGAATGAGTAGCTTTCAGTGTAGACTTTTGATGTGTGATGAATGAGTACCTTTCAGTGTAGACTTTTGATGTGTGATGAATGACTACCTTTCAGTGTAGACTTTTGATGTGTGATGAATGAGTACCTTTCAGTGTAGACTTTTGATGTGTGATGAATGAGTACCTTTCAGTGTAGACTTTTGATGTGTGATGAATGACTACCTTTCAGTGTAGACTTTTGATGTGTGATGAATGAGTACCTTTCAGTGTAGACTTTTGATGTGTGATGAATGAGTACCTTTCAGTGTAGACTTTTGATGTGTGATGAATGACTACCTTTCAGTGTAGACTTTTGATGTGTGATGAATGACAACCTTTCAGTGTAGACTTTTGATGTGTGATGAATGACTACCTTTCAGTGTAGACTTTTGATGTGTGATGAATGACTACCTTTCAGTGTAGACTTTTGATGTGTGATGAATGAGTACCTTTCAGTGTAGACTTTTGATGTGTGATGAATGAGTACCTTTCAGTGTAGACTTTTGATGTGTGATGAATGAGTACCTTTCAGTGTAGACTTTTGATGTGTGATGAATGACTACCTTTCAGTGTAGACTTTTGATGTGTGATGAATGACTACCTTTCAGTGTAGACTTTTGATGTGTGATGAATGACTACCTTTCAGTGTAGACTTTTAATGTGTGATGAATGAGTACCTTTCAGTGTAGACTTTTGATGTGTGATGAATGAGTACCTTTCAGTGTAGACTTTTGATGTGTGATGAATGACTACCTTTCAGTGTAGACTTTTGATGTGTTATGAATGACTACCTTTCAGTGTAGACTTTTGATGTGTGATGAATGACTACCTTTCAGTGTAGACTTTTGATGTGTGATGAATGACTACCTTTCAGTGTAGACTTTTGATGTGTGATGAATGACTACCTTTCAGTGTAGACTTTTGATGTGTGATGAATGAGTACCTTTCAGTGTAGACTTTTGATGTGTGATGAATGAGTACCTTTCAGTGTAGACTTTTGATGTGTGATGAATGAGTACCTTTCAGTGTAGACTTTTGATGTGTGATGAATGAGTACCTTTCAGTGTAAACTTTTGATGTGTGATGAATGACTACCTTTCAGTGTAGACTTTTGATGTGTGATGAATGAGTACCTTTCAGTGTAGACTTTTGATGTGTGATGAATGACTACCTTTCAGTGTAGACTTTTGATGTGTGATGAATGAGTACCTTTCAGTGTAGACTTTTGATGTGTGATGAATGAGTACCTTTCAGTGTAGACTTTTGATGTGTGATGAATGACTACCTTTCAGTGTAGACTTTTGATGTGTGATGAATGACTACCTTTCAGTGTAGACTTTTGATGTGTGATGAATGACTACCTTTCAGTGTAGACTTTTGATGTGTGATGAATGACTACCTTTCAGTGTAGACTTTTGATGTGTGATGAATGAGTACCTTTCAGTGTAGACTTTTGATGTGTGATGAATGAGTACCTTTCAGTGTAGACTTTTGATGTGTGATGAATGAGTACCTTTCAGTGTAGACTTTTGATGTGTGATGAATGAGTACCTTTCAGTGTAGACTTTTGATGTGTGATGAATGACTACCTTTCAGTGTAGACTTTTGATTTGTGATGAATGAGCGGGGATATGACACCCTTTTGAATTTTAAAAATATATGCATTGTTAGGAACTCCGTTTAAAAGGTTATTTCACATTTTTAATGACTATTTTTATTTTGTTTTTAATAATTTTGGCTCTGTTAATTTTAAAAAATAATCTGTTTTCTTGCATGTCTTTTAGGCTAAATCTAGCTGGTAGAGGTATATCATCTGCAAAATAGGTCTTTTAGGTTATTGGTTAGTGTCATTATCATTATGATGCCTCTTGATTTGTCAGTAGTTTGTATCATTTGACAGTCAATTATTAGGTTAAAAAGCAGTTGAGATATCATCATAAGTAATAAAAAATAAAATTTATGGGGTATGTGTTACATCAGTGTCTGATTATGTCACAATAAAAGAATCTTCTTATTTAAAAAGGGTGTTAGATTAGAGGTAGGCCTATTTAACTTAATTTAACTAATACAATGGACCTAAATTTTAGTAAAAGAGAATCGTCCCAAATGATCTATTAAATATTTTTTAAATAACCCAAGAATCTAAATGTGGTTATAAAAACTGCATTCTTTAGTTTTTGTTGGATTAATTATTTAAATTTAATAAGCCTAGGCCTAATTAGTAATTAGCCTAACTTAAACTTAGCCGATCTCATTACGACATTAGACCTAGACAAGGCCTAACTAATTAATTTTTAGAACATTTTTAAAATTAGAGCTAGCTTACAATTGTTTAGATTTTGGAAAGGCCAAGGCTATTCCCAGCCGGTTGGGAATAGCCGTATTGGGGCTTTTCCCAGTCGACTGTGAATAGCCCCAATACGGCTATTCACAGTCTGCTGTCATTTCATGTTAAATATGACTGTGAAAATATCTTACAATAATAAAAGCATTTATTGTGACTGGGGAGTGAGGTGTAAATTAAGAGAGCAGTGCTATTTTTATTTTTGTTATATTTTTATTAAAAAGTTATTATGGTTAAAGTTTAGTTTAGCTGTTAGGCTCGGTGCACCTCCAAAACGGCCCGGGACAAATCGGCCCCGTCAAAATGGCCCCGTTAATATGACCCCGTCAAAATAGCTCTGTCAAAAGGGCCCCGACTTATTGGCTCCCATCAAATGGGCTCCCGTCATAATGACTCGCAACAAATAGGTTCCCGACAAATGGGCTCCCCGCATTTAGCCTCCCGACATATTGGCTGCCGAGGAATAGGCTCAGGACATATTGGCACCCGACATAAGGGCTCACAACATATTGGCTACCGACAAAAGGGCACCCAATAAATTGGCTTCAGACAAAATGACTCCCGACATATTGGCTCCAGACAAATGAATCATATTACCACTATTGGCATAAAAGTAACCAATTTGTCATAACTCCACTACCACCATAATCTCTTTTAAATGGCTGCATTTAAATTGAAATTGTTTTTCAAGAACCAATATCAATTCACAAACAAATCTAACCCTTAACAGCTAAATTCCATCAATTCTAAAATTGTGATGTTTACAACAGAGAAGATCTGTTGCTTAAAAGCGAGCACAGACGTGTAAATGTATGATATACATGATGTTTACATGATAACAGCATTTTGTTTTGATAACCTACAAATGTATGATATACATGATGTTCACAGGATAACAACATTTTGTTTTGATAACCTACAAATGTATGATATACATGATGTTCACAGGATAACAACATTTTGTTTTGATAACCTACAAATGTATGATATACATGATGTTCACAGGATAACAGCATTTTGTTTTGATAACCTACAAATGTATGATATTCATGATGTTTACATGATAACAGCATTTTGTTTTGATAACCTACAAATGTATGATATACATGATGTTCACAGGATAACAACATTTTGTTTTGATAACCTACAAATGTATGATATACATGATGTTCACAGGATAACAACATTTTGTTTTGATAACCTACAAATGTATGATATACATGATGTTCACAGGATAACAACATTTTGTTTTGATAACCTACAAATGTATGATATACATGATGTTCACAGGA